CAGTGTCATTATGATCGGGAAAAGATTCTCTTATCTTTTCATAGGAAAAAATAATTTTTTTTTTTAAATTTGGCCGACCCTGAGAACAAGTCTCGGAGAGGGCCTGTCGACCCTCAAAGGGTTAAATGAATCAAACAGTAACTGTAATTACTACACAGCAGAACAATCAAAGGCACTTCTCAGAGCCAACAACAACATAACTGTCTTTAACTACAATATCAGATCTTTAAGCAAACATTACGATGACCTCATAGCATTACTAAATTCCCTGCATGCCAGTATATCCATCATTACTCTCACTGAAACTTGGCTAAAGCCTGATACTACAGATGTCTATGCCATTCCTGGTTACACAGCCATACACAACTGTAGGCCAGATCAACAAGGGGGTGGCACAGCTATATACTACTCAGACCAACTAGAATGTATCACTAATACTTGCACAAGGGATGAACATGGGGGAATATATAATAGCTAAATTCAAATCCAAATACCTACAAAACCCTCTCACAGTGATAAACATCTACAGAGTACCACAGTCAAACATTAGCTGTTTTAGTGACAACCTAGGAAGTATGATAACTGATGCACGCATGAACAAAGATCACTTACTACTCTCAGGTGACTTCAATATAAATCTCCTGCAAGACCAGGACCCACACATTACTGAATTCACAAACACTTTGAGTAACTGCATGTTGCTACCAACAGTAACAAAACCTACAAGAGTTACAGAGACTAGTGTTTCCCTACTAGACCACATCTGCACCAACACCATATCCCCTTTAAAATCAGGCATAATCATAGATAATACCACAGACCACTACCGTACCTTCCTCATAACTAATTTAGGCAAATTGCCCCAAGACACTACTAAAGTCACTTTCAGACTTCACAATGAGGCAACCATTAATAACTTCACAGCAGCAGTGACAAACACTGACTGGCACACTGAGCTAGAAATCTATACAGATATTGACGAATGTATTAATAATTTTCTAAAAAAGACCCAATACCTCAAAAAAACTAAACAGATGACAGCTAAGAGACTGAACAGTCCCTGGCTAACACCCAGCATCCTCAAATCCATAAATACAAAGCACCTATACGAAAAAAGTACAGAATGGGTCACATAACCAGAGACCAAACAAAACGTTACTCGTCAATCCTAACCAGCCTGATAAGAAGGGCTAAAAAATTGTATGAGAACAGATTATCCAACTTACGAGGTGATATAAAAAAGACCTGGAAAACCCTATCAGAAATTCTAGGAACAAAAAAGATATCACGAAATAGCGAAATTGAATTAACAAAACCAGATGAACCCCAACTCCCACCAACTGAAACAGCAAACAGACTCAATGATTTCTTCTCCACTATAGGAAAAAAAACCTTGCCAATAAAATCCCAAGCTCAGGTACCCCACCCAATGACTACCTCACTGGCAACTACCCGAACACACTGTTCCTAGCTCCGACTAACCCAACTGAAGTCTCTCTTATTATCAACACACTAAAAATCAAGACAGGATATTTAAATACCTTGCCACCCTTTATATACAAAAAAGCATCACAAGTGCTATCACCAATCATTGCAACACTAACAAATCCATTGAATCCTCTACCTTCCCTACAGTTCTCAAAATAGCAAGGGTCACCCTGATCCATAAAAGAGGAGACCAAACAGACTTGAATAACTATAGGCCAATATCTTACTCCCTCTCTCTAAAATCTTCGAAAAATTAACTCATAAGCGAATCTATTCCTACCTCATCTCCCACAACATACTCAACCCCTGTCAGTTTGGGTTCAGGTCTAATAAAAATACAAATGATGCTATTATAAACATGCTAGAACAAATATACACTGCAATAGAGGAAAAAGAAGTCCCACTGGGGATCTTCATTGACTTACGTAAAGCTTTTGATACAGTTGACCATTACTTGCTCCACATAAAATTGTCGCACTATGGAATAAGAGGGCACTCCTTCAACTACCTAAAGTCATACCTCAGCAACAGAAGCCAATATGTGTACACAAATGGAGTAAACTCTTCCGCACAGCCAATTACAGTTGGTGTCCCACAGGGAAGTGTCCTTGGCCCTCTTCTCTTTCTCATATACATAAATGGCCTACCAAATGCATTGCAACTACTCAAACCCACACTATTTGCAGATGACACTACATACGTCTTCTCTCACCCGAGCCCAGTCACGCTAGCCAATACTGTAAATACTGAATTACAGAAAATATCTACCTGGATGAGGACTAACAAACTTACACTAAACATTGACAAAACCTACTTCATTCAGTTTGGTAACAGAACTACAGATGTCCCTCTTAACATAATGATAAATGGATCACCTATCACAAAACTCACAGAGGGAGAATTCTTAGGAATCCCCCTTAATAATAGACTCAAATTTCAAACACATATACAACAAATTTCCAAAAAAATTTCCAAGACGTAGGCATACTATCGAAGATACGGTACTATGTTCCACAGTCAGCCCTCCTGGCCCTATATCACTCACTTGTTTACCCCTATCTCACCTATGGAATTTGTGCATGGGGCTCAACAACAATAAACCATCTCAGACCACTAATTACCCAACAAAAGGCTGCAGTTAGAATGATAACAAATTCCTATTACAGGCAGCACACTCCACCAATATTCAAAACTCTAAACCTACTCACCATACAAAACATCCATACTTATTACTGCACCTACTACATACATAGAACACTTAACTCTGATGTAAACCCTCCCCTCAAACATCTCCTTACCAACCTCAACAGAACACATGACCATAACACAAGGCACAGATCACTCTTTGATGTTCCTCGTGTCCATCTCATGCTTTGCAAAAACTCAATGCACATAAAAGGCCCTAAAATCTGGAATTCATTACCTGTGAATATAAAAGAAACACTGTCTGTTTATAAATTCAAGTCTCTTCTCATAAATCACTTACTCACCCACAATTTAATAAATACTGAATACAGTGGACCCCCGGTATTCGATATTAATCTGTTCCTGAGAGCTCATCGAATACCGATAATATCGAAAACCGAATCAATTGTCCTCATAAGAAATAATGGAAATCAAATTAATCTGTGCAAGACACCCAAAAGTATGAAAAAAAAAAATTTTACTACATGAAATATTAAGTTTAATGCAATAGAATAATTACAATAACAATAAAATAATTGACACTTACCTTTAATGAAGATCTGGTGATGATTGATGGGATGGGAGGAGGGAAGAGGTGTTAGTGTTTAGAAGGGGAATCCCCTTCCATTAGGACTTGAGGTAGCAAGTCCTTTTCCGGGGTTACTTCCCTTCTTCTTTTAATGCCACTAGGACCAGCTTGAGAGTCACTGGACTTCTGTCGCACAACATAACTGGCAGCCTCACCATGCCTAATCACACTATGTATGCCACTACGATTCTTAAATCTTTCAAACCAACCTTTGCTGGCCTTAAATTCACTCACATCACCAATAGTTGCAGGCAATTTCTTTACCAAATCGTCATGCAACTGCCTAGCCTTTTCACAAATGATCGCTTGAGAGATGCTATCTCCTGCTATCTGTTTTTCATTTATCCACACCAATAACAATCTCTCAACATTTTCTAACACTTGCGGTCGCTGTTTCGTAATCACAGTTGCACCTTTTGCAAGAACAGCTTCCTTGATTGCCGTTTTCCTGGTCACTGTAGTAGAGATGGTTGATTGGGTTTATTATACAACCTGACCAGCTCCAACACACGCACTCCACTTTCGTACTTTGCAATTATCTCTTTCTTCATTTCATAAGTCATTAGCGACTTTTTTCTCGAAGGGTTGGCACTAGAAGCTTTCTTGGGGCCCATGGTGACTTATTTTGCAGAAACAAGCACTAAACACAGTGATAATATGGATAATATGGAATGTACCGAATGTATCCTTAGATGTGCACACACTGGCTGGCTTGTAAACACTAGCACACACGGGGCAGTTCAGGCTACACGTGGACAGGTCTCGTACGAATCGTATCGAATACTGGGTTTTCAATCGAATACCGAGGAAAATTTTTTGCGTTAAAATGCATCGAAAACCGGATTTATCGAATACCGATGACATCGAATACTGTAATAGTATCTCATAAAGTGTATCTCATAAATGTTTCTAATTATTGTATCTCATAAATGTCTAACCTGTAACCCAATCAAACTGTTATTTTTTAATTACATTACCTAACAGAATACTCCATTCTACTGAATGCACAGCAACACAGTAAATGACCATATGACCTGTCTTTGTAATACTCATTTGTGCTAAATTGTTATCTGTTTACAATAATGTTTTTACCACTGAATATATCATTGCTTAGTTAATGTTAAGTTAATTTTAAGCCTGCCCATAATGCTCTGCATACAAGGGGCTTTGGCATGTTGCACTTTAATAACTGTAAGATAAGATAAGATTTCGTTCGGATTTTTAACCCCGGAGGTTAGCCAACCCGGATTAACACCGAGAAGAAAGTAAGTATCTCATAAGGATCTCTAACTTTTTATTATTGTATCTTAATGCTCTGTAACCCCAAGTATTCAACCAAAACACCATTCTGACTAACCCCCAGAAACCTATTTGCCATATGAACCTGGTACAACCATTGTGTAAATGTAATCGTGTCAAAATGTTTCCACTCGCAGAATGGAATTTTAAGCCTGCCCTCGTGTGTGAACGGGGCTTTGCAAGGCACTTTAATAACTGTATTCCTTTGTACTTCTCTGTATCATGTTCAAATAAATAAATAAATAAATAGTGTGTAAAATAATTTGTTTCAGTGATTGAGCTAGTGTGTGCCTGTGTGACCGAGAAGGATGCTTGTGTGAATAAATTGTAGTTTTTAGATAACTAGCATGTAGAATGTTAGGAAACTACCTTATAAACCTATAGAAAAATATATATTAGGACCTTTTTTCAACACATTAGGATATATACATTATTTCAGGCTCAGATGGTTCGACGAGTGAAGGCGTATCTGTCTCGCATGAACATAATTGTGGATGAAGATCAACTTCGCACCATGTCGTATGAGTGTGAAGCTGGCTCGGAGGGTCACAAAGCAGCTGCTGGATCAGTGAGTCACAACAGTAACAGCAGCAGTGGGTCCAACAGTGCTCCGCCCACTAATCCACCACCTAGGAAGCGTCCAAACTCACCTACACCATCCACTACATCTTCAACATCATCAACATCTCAGACATCTGATGGAAAGAAACAGACTGCTAAATTTGGTAAATTCTATGTTTGATTTATTGCCATTTAATGCATTATTGATATCAAGGTGTTGAATGACATCTTGCTTAGCTTTTTGGCTTCATTGATAACTGTTGAGTTCACTTCAATAATGCTTAACACTTTCTTGCTGCCAAAGAGCAGTATTTAGCTTACTTTCTCTGAGCACTCGCCTCACATTGCAGGAGCTACATCTCCCCAGTCCATAAGCAAGATGAAGGCCCTGGCAGAGCCCAAGACGAAGCCTCATCACGGCCCACGCTCCACAACCCACCACTCACTCTCTCCCACCCCTTCCCCGGGCCCTCCTCGCAGGGGTGCGATCACCAACAATAATTCTCGCTCGTCTCACGAGCGTTCTCATTCAGACACTCATGCAGTACCTGTGGACCTCAGTGCAGAGTCTTCCTCTGTCACCTCCTTATCCAAACTCCATAAATCCCACACCTCAGGTATGCCGCTAGACCCTGCACTTAATCCTGTTGATTCAACACTGTATGACATTTTACCTGTAAAAACACTAACTACATCTCCACCCTCTGTGGCTTGCTCCCTCTCTTTTGTGCATGCTGCTGCTTGCTCTGCCTTCATAGCTTCTGTCAAGAAACTTTCCACTTCTAGTAATAATGTCATGGGAAGAAAACCCCTATGGACTTCCATTAATTCGACTCCTCTTGTATCTATTAAGAGTCACAGTGTAAAGCAACTTCAAAAGCAGAAGAAAATTATGCTCCAATCAAAGCAGTTCAGCAGCAGTTTTGATAGCACATATAGTACCAATTTTGGTGATTGGGAACATAAGAAAGCTGCTCGTTCACTCTCGGTTTGTCCCACAAAAACAAAGAGAAGGTTGAATATATTAAGCAAGTATGATACATGTTCACGTAGTCTTCCAACATCTGGGACAGATCACAGCCAAGTAGATCCTTCAGTCTCAGGCTTAAATTCAAATGTTCCTATTGATAATGATTGTGAATTTCAAATTTCTACTTTCAAAACAGAAGTTTTGCCTGTTGTTGGCATAATGAATAACACTGAGGCACAAAATACTAGAAAGGTTTCTCCCCATTATGAAGAACGCTTCAACAATGAATGTGTAGAATCATTCACTCAAGAAGATCACTTGAATCTCAGTAATCGAAAAAACAGAGTCTTGACCAGTCAGATCAATATCTCATCTACTCAGAGAGACACTTCTAAGTGCCGTGGAGATATCAGCCATACTGGAATTTTATTTACCAATTCCACAAGTCGTCCAGCTACCTGCCAGAAAGCTGCAGCATTCAGCGGTGCTGAAGATAATTCGGCAGCTGGTTTAAAAATGACCTCGTTTGTCATTAAAAAAAATACAACTTATACTATTAATAAAGACAAAACAGTTTTAAGTCAGAAGACTTCGAACTGTAATCGCAAAGATTTGTCTGACACTTACAAGAATAAAGAGGTACAAGCGTTAATGAAAGGAAACAAACAAGTAGCCAGTACTGGGATCTTTCATAAAATATTTAGAAGTAAAAGTGAAGATATATTAAGCAAGGATGGTAGCAAGAATAATGTCCAAAGATGCAGTGATAAAGAGAGCAGTGTGGTGGAACTTCTGTTAACCCCTGCACTAACTAGGTCATTGTTTGCCAAAAGTCAGAGTGATGATCAGTTGGACAAAGCAGCTGAGAGACCAGGGTTAACCAAGAGTTCTTTTGCAGAGTCTCAGTGTTGTGGTAACAAGGAAGTGTCTCCTGCAACGATGAAATGTCCCAAGATGAAAAAACCTTTTCAGTCCATTTTTGCACCGGATTCTAGTTCTCTTGGTACAATTTTCAAAAAGAAAATGAAATTGAGGAAGAGTCACAATTTTACCACTGATGATATTTCGTTACCATCTCATTGCTGTTTGGAGAAAAAGTTGCATTGTCAGGATTTGCAAACAGGAATTTCTGAAACAAAATACTCAAGCCTACAGAAATATGCAGAAGATAAGGAAATGTATTTTCCAGTTGCCACTAAAAATGCAGAAACATCAAAAAAAGGTGAAATCCAGAGAGTATATCAGGTTAATCAACCCATGATTTTCTCAGCCTCAGTTACTGGTGAAGGAAATAGGAAATATTTACACCAGAGGGTCTTAACTAATAGTATAAAAGATATGCCATTATTGGTAAATAATAGCACTCCTTTAAAAAGACCCAAAAATATTGAAAAAGGTAATTCAGGGGACCTCATTAATTCTGAAAATAGCTCAGTTGCCTTTGAAACTTTTACCAAAAAGCCGCCTTGGTTTGAAAAGTTCATAAAATCTCAGTTAGAATCCTTTGGTCGGGAAGATAAAGTCCTGCATAATTCTCACACTTTAAATTATTCTTCAGGTTCTTCAGTTTTTAGTAGTAATTCAGATGTTACATCTCAAGATGGTATTATAAACTCCAGCTGTCAAGACGAAGTATTGCCAGACAGAAACACCTTCTCCGAGTCACTTAACCGTCTGATGAAACACAAAGGTCAGCCTGAAGTTCACAAGCGAATTGCAGAGAAACTTAGTGCAGTAATACAGGAGTTAGATGAAGAAAGGTGCATAGCACCTCCATCTAGTCCATATCCAGTATCCAAAATTAGCAGTCTTCATCATGGAGTAAGGAGACAGAGTCACTCAAGATGTGATTATTTTCTGAAGCCAACAAATGTAGTTTTTCCTAGGCCTACGAGTTTGTCTCTTGATATGCTAAACCAGCCTAGAAGAAACAGTGCACCAATGTTATCTCCCATAGAAGAGGCAAAAAGTTCCCCCTCATTACACAATGCAAGTTCCAATATAAACAGCTTATTATCAGTATCTTCTCATGCTCTCGAAAGTCAGCAAGTAAAGATTGCTCCATCTTTGTGTTCCTCGAAGATAAATGCTCCATCATCGTGTCCTTTGAAGGCAAATGTTCCATCATCGTGTCCCTTGACAGAAAATGCTCCATCATCATGTCAATTGAAGGCAAATAAGCTTTCATTGGCAATAAAAAGCAGGAGCCTTGATGAAAAAATTGGAGCTAGAGACTGTACTCAAATATTTCCACCGAATTACTGGGAGCAGCAGCCAGAGAGTGTCACTAGGATGTTAACACATGTTGATGGAGTGCCGCTGTCAGTGTTGTCACTTGAAGAGACTGTGAGAGATCCTTGTGATCTTATTCATCTAACACCTAAAACATACTGTGACCATTATGATAATGACAGTGAAGTTGAATATGTCTAAAATATAGATGGCTCATGTTTTTAAGCATTTCTTGATGTTGACAGTTTCTGAAATATTTGTAAAGGAAGATTGCCATCATATTAGTATTTTTAATTTTAGTAAATAATTTTTTTTTTATTTACCTGTAAATGTATGCACACAATTTGAGCTTTATTTTCCCCCACTGCCACCCACCCTGTCCTTTCTCTTATCCACACATTTGTATCTCCGTGTCACTGCATGGGGTCTGTGCGGAGATCATCAGTGGCTGCATGACCACTCCACAGTGCTATTTTAACATTGATGGGTAAATGAATTTCTGCATTTTATAAATGCAACTTATTTTTATAGTAAAACAAATTTATAAGTAGAAAATATGACAGTATTTACACTGGCAAACCTGAAAAGCAGGTTACGTGATCTAGACGACAAAACACAAATAACCCGCACATAAGAGACTCAAACTTGTGATGACGTTTCAGTTCAGCTTATTAATGGTCCAAGCCAGACCAAAACGTTGTCATAAGTTTCATTTTTCATGTGCAGGTTATTTATGTATTGTTCCAGTCACTATATTGTGCCATTTTGTTCTAGGCTACAAAGGTGGATTACATGACCATGTGACCTGCCTTTGTTTACAAGCTTAATCTGGCATATATTTTTGAGTTTGCTGAGGAGGACCTCAGTACACAGGACAGAATTTCACTAATTACCTTATTCTTCTATATTTTATTATTTCTATTTGGGCTTTTTTGTTTCATTGACTAGTGGTATTATAGTTTTGTGTATATGTATGTATATATGTACGTATTTTTTTTTCAACAAACTGGCCGTGTCCTACCAAGGCAGGGTGGCCCAAAAAGAAAAACGAAAGTTTTTCTTTTTAAATTTAGTAATTTATACAGGAGAAGGGGTTACTAGCCCCTTGCTCCCGGCATTTTAGTTGCCTCTTACAACACGCATGGCTTACGGAGGAAGAATTCTGTTCCACTTCCCCATGGAGATAAGAGGAAATAAACAAGAACAAGAACTAGAAAGAAAATAGAAGAAAACCCAGATGGGTGCGTATATATATGCTTGTACATGTATGTGTAGTGTGACCTAAGTGTAAGTAGAAGTAGCAAGACGTACCTGTAATCTTGCATATTTATGAGACAGACAAAAGACACCAGCAATCCTACGATCATGTAAAACAATTACAGGCTTTCGTTTTACACTCACTTGGCAGGATGGTAGTACACCCAGGGAGGTACTACCGTCCTGCCAAGTGAGTGTAAAACGAAAGCATGTGCACTAAGTGCACCACTCACCTTTTTCCCCTCATCAATTCTATGATTCACTTCATCTTTCATAGACCCATCTGCTGACATGTCCGCTTCTAAATATCTGAATGCATTCACCTCCTCCATACTCTTTCCCTCCAATCTGATATCCAATCTTTTGTCACCTAATTTTTTTGTTATCCTCATCACCTTACTCTTTCCTATATTCACTTTTAACTTTCTTCTTTTACATACCCAACCAAACTCATCCACTGACCTCTTGCCAGCACCCGAGCATTTACTTCTCTTACAACCCCATTTATAAATATATTGAACATCCATGGTGACATTACACATCCTTGTCTAAGGCCTACTTTTACTGAAAATAATCTCCCTTTCTCCTCCATACTCTAGCCTGAGCCTCACTATCCTCATAAAAACTCTTCACTGCTTTCAGAAACCTACCTCCTATTCTATATATTTGCAAGATCCTCCATATTGCCCCCTATCCACCCTGCCATATGCCTTTCCAAAATCCATAAATTCCACAGAAACCTCTTTACCCCTTCCTAAATACTGTTCTCCTATATGTTTCACTGTAAACACTTGGTCTACACACCCTCTATCCTTCCTGAAGACTCCTTGTTCATCTGCTATCCTACTCTCCATCTTACTCTTAATTCTTTCAATAATAACACTACCATACACCTTACCAGGTATAGTCAACAGATTTCTTTCTTTCTCTCTTTCAATGCACCGGCTGTATCCCACCGATGTAGGGTGGCCCAAAAAGAAAAACAAAATTTTCTCTTTTTAAATTTAGTAATTTATGCAGGAGAAGGAGTTACTAGCCCCTTGCTTCCGGCATTTTAGTTGCCTCTTACAACACGCATGGCTTACGATGGAAGAATTCTGTTCCACTTTCCCATGGAGATAAGAGGAAATAAACAAGAATAAGAACTGGAAAGAAAATAGAAGAAAATCCAGAGGGGTGTGTATATATATGCTTGTACATGTATGTGTAGCGTGACCTAAGTGTAAGTAGAAGTAGCAAGACATACCTGAAATCTTGCATGTTTATGTGACATAAAAAAGGGACACCAGCAATCCTACCATCATGTAAAACAATTACAGGCTTTCGTTTTACACTCATTTGACAGGACGGTAGTACCTCCCTGGGTGGTTGTTGTCTACCAACCTACTACCTATACTGAACAGACTTATTTCCCTATAAATTTTGAAGGAGGGGTGTTAATGTTGCAGTTTAAAAACTGTAGTGTAGTGATGGAGTGAATGATGGTGAAAGTTTTTCTTTTTCGGGCCACCCTGCCTTGGTGGGAATCGACCAGTGTGTTAATAAAAAAAAAAAAAAATTTGTCCCCTTTGTCTTTATACAAAGGAACTATGCATGCTCTCTGCCAATCCCTAGATACTTTACCCTCTTCCATATATTTATTAACTCCTTAACTGTCCAAACGTAGATCTACATTGTCTAGCCCAGCGCTCCAAATATTTTGAAAAAAAAAAAAAAAATCTTTTTTTTTTTTTGTAAATAGAGGGCATTTTTTACATAAAGTAATGTAAAAAGAAAAATTTAGGGGTCAGTACTTATGGAGATATAAGGCTGCAAAGTCGGCGCTTGTTGCTTACCTGACGGCAATGTGAAGCGCTGCCTCTTGCAGAAGTGTTGCCGTTATACCTTTCTTCTTTTTTCATTTTTTTTAATTTGTATAATTTTTATGTTCTGATAATTACAATGCTGCCTGCATGACGCATTGCCGCCGCGAGTATTGTCAAATATTGTACAGTGGTGTGCATCAGCCGGCCCAGCCCAGCTGCCAGATGCACGGTCGTAAGTCGAGTGGACGTATGTCGAGCAGGTCGTAAGACGGATGGTAGGTGTATTCTTGTTCTTCATGTTGAAGTGGAACAGAATTCTTCCTCTAAGCCATGCGTGTCGTAAGAGGTGACTAAAATGCCGGGAGCAAGGGGCTAGTAACCCCTTATCCTGTATACATTACTAAATTTAAAAAGAGAAACTTGTTTTTCTTTTTGGGCTACCCTGCCTGGGTGGGATGCGACCGGTTTGTTGAAAGAAAGAAATTACAATTTGTAATAGTTCTTGTGATTTCATAGCTAATCTTTGTTCTGACACTAATATTAGATACTGACAAACACACTGACAGGTGAACATTTTCACCTACCTTAGTCACACACTATTGTCTAGAAATATATACATAATATTTATAGGTCCCAGCAATGTTATGGATATACAGGAGTATATAATAATAATAATAACAATAATAATAATGATAATAATAATGTTGAAGCATGGTGTAAGACGAGTGTCACTCCACTGCTGACAGTGCAGCACTAGTGACATTTGATGAGTGTGCACTGCCTTGGCTTTATTTGTTTTCACTGTTACCCATAAACATGTCTGTCTGTCTGTCTAGCTCTCTGCCTGTCTAGCTCTGTGTCTGTCTAGCTCTCTGCTTATCTCTGTCTCTGCTTATCCGTCTTTCTATCTGCTTGTCTCTCTCTGTCTCAGAGAGTGCCACTTGTGAACCAACAGGTATTACACACGACACGGTCATGAACAAGTGAAAATACATATTACTTGCAAGTCGTGCTTACTATGCATTATATCTTCAAGCACAGTACGTATAGCACTTTGTCTGGCTTTTTTGGGATATCTTAGATAATTTACACTGTGTATAATTGTTGACCAGGTTGTTGGCCTGGTTGACCAGGCAAGCACCAGACGAGCCTGGCCCATGGCTGGGCTCAGAGAGTGGAGACACTCTCGAAACTCTTCAAAGGTAAAGGTATAACAAAGGTATTGGTGAGACAGAGACAGAGATAGACAGAGACATAGATACAGACAGACAAACAGAGATAGGGACAGCCGGCCAGTCAGCCTGCTGAAAACATATTACATGTTCCAGAATTGTTTCTCTTTACGTAGGGCATAGGTTATAAGATATTCTGGCAGGATGACCCTACCAGTGGTACCAAAAATGAAAGTATGTTGCACAAATGTTGCACATGGGTTATTATCAAGGTTTTTGATATATCCTCGACCACTTATGGCCACATTCACCTCAGAGCCTCTAGACTCAGGGTCAGCATCACTTTTCTCTTAAAATGGGAGTGTTAATACTACATGACATCAGTAAATCCCAGGTGTTTGCTGCGATGTTTGCTCTAGCTGGCACTCAATTGAACTGGTGCTCCCACAAGGTACTAAGTTGTCCCAGATTTTTTTAATACTGCACACACTGAGTGTTAAGACCCATTCTGTGCTGACAAGGCATCTCAGGCCAATCATGCCAAATTTGGAGGCAGGAAAAATAAAACGTAGATCTTCGTTTGAAGCGCTAGCAGTAAGAACGTAGATCTACGTTTGGACAATTAAGAGTTTCTCTGGGAAACCTTTACGTCTGAGAAAAAGAGCTGGAGTACTTAAGAGAGAAAATTAGGGCAGGTCAAATTCCAGGAGATATTTTGCCATTTTTGAACTGTAGTCAGTGATGATGAAAGTGTTTCTTCTTTTTTGGGTCACTTTGACTTGGTTATACCTGCTGATGTTAAGTTATAACATTACTATCCTGATCTATTGTCGGTGTCCAAAACTATGATCAAATAAACCGGCTACAAATTGAATTACGTAAATCCCCTCTACAATTTCAATGTCTTTGCAAGTTTTTCCTTTGCAAGTTTATTTCCTACTGGGTAAGAGAGTTAATTTTGTTAATATAAAACTATAGTCATGAGACTGCCCAAGTGAGTGAAATTTATATATTATTTTATACTACTTTGTTTGCTTCATTACCTTTATTAGTTTCTTTATTAAGGTTGTATAAGTTAGCTGGTAGTTGGAGTATAAGTTTATTGTCAGGTGATACAGGATATACAGTGGACCCCCGCTTAACGATCACCTCCAAATGCGACCAATTATGTAAGTGTATTTATGTAAGTGCGTTTGTACGTGTATGTTTGGGGGTCTGAAATGGATCTACTTCACAATATTCCTTATGGGAAAAAATTCG